CTCTGCTTCTGATGTCAGTTCTGATTCAGATGAAATTGAAATCCAAGATAGAATAACTGAGGTTGAAGTTATTGCTGAAGAAGAAAGGGAAGTAGTTATAATTTGTTTCGCTTTTTAAAGACACAGACCCATCTATGCATGTGGCACTGTAAATATGGATCGGAAGTATCTACCCAAAAATTTAAAAGACAAATTTATATCAAGAGAATATATAGACTTTTCAGTTAGCGATGATTCAATTTATGGATAAAAGATAAGTTTCTATCCTGTCTTGCTTGGAAAAGGCAACTGAAATGAAAGAAATTAATAGAAAAGAACGAGATGGAAAGAACAAAACAAAAAACAACAAAAAAAGTACTGTGCCCAAACAGCATTATTTCATACAACAGAATATGGAATATGTCGACTGATTTGATCAACTGAAAGGACTTATATGAAATAGGCCGCAAAAGCAAGAAATGGTGGCACAGGATTTTTTTTTTTACTTTTTAGATGCGAGTATAGTAAACACATTTATTCAAGTTTAAGTTTGTTCGCGAACCTGATCATGATGTAAAAACAATGAAAGATTTTCTTCTCTCAGTTACAGAAAGGTCTAATGGCACTTTGCAGGCAAGAAAGAGCTGAAAAAAAACTGAAATCCCCAGTTCAAATGAAAAACTAAAAAACCCGTTCGTACAACCAGAAAAGAGACTAAAAAATGTAAGTAAAACGCCAAGAGAACGAGCAGCAGAAGAATGTGCATATTGCAGCATATCGAAAGAAGAACGACCGAACATTTTGGATGTGTGAAACATGTGAAGTGCCTCTATGCTTACAAAAGAATGAAACAACATGTTTTTCAAAGTTTCCATGAAAAATGACTTTTTTCAATTTTTAATCATTTATAAATGTTTTTGAATCAAGTGCCAATTTTAATATTTTATTTAGTATCATATGTACGAGTATCAAATTTTAATCTTAAAATAATATTCAAGAAATTATTTTCTTTTGTTCCTAAAATTTAAAAATATCAAATATATACTATATGCAAAATTTTACAAGTCATGCATATATGCATACAAAGTCATGCATAAGTACAAAATGCATTTTAGTGTGTTTATTATGAATATTTTAGAATGCATGCTTTATTTTGTTTATTCATTCCACATATGATTTTTTTTTTCCTGCTATACACCAATATAAGACATGTGCTAGTTGCATGGTGGGACAAACGGTATCCCACCTTCCACCGTAAAAAATAAAAGCGCAGAATTTTTTTCAAGCCTTAAAGGCACTTAAGTAAGTCCATCTGACTTATTCTAAGGCATTTTTTTAAAGATTAAAATATATTTTAAATATGCGTGTCGCAAAGGGTTAACCAAGACTAAACTGATCCCGGACATTTTCCACTTTATTATAATAGGTTTTCGACTAAACATTGTGCCTGTCCTTGTGCCTTGCGTAATGTCGATCTTGAGCACCTGTTATTTAGATGCTTTTCTATGCAAAATATTGTTCTAAGATTTATTCAGATATTGCTAAATTTAATACTCTAACTGATGTATGTAAAAACACAGTGACTAAATTGAAACTGTCGAATTTCGTAAAATATGTATCTGTAAAAGAAATGAATTTATATATTGATTGCGTTAAAAATTTCTCTGTTTTAAGAAAAACTAAAGTATTTATATTATTTTGTTATTTTATTTCTTTTGTATATGTAAGTAACGTGTCACATTTTGTATTACAATGCATGTAATAATGTATTATTTGCCGGCACTGTTGGTAAATCTCACCAGCTTCTAGAGTTAAAGTTCATATTTTATTTGTTAATTCTATAAGTTATTTTTAGTATGGTGGTTGCTCTTCTGCTTATGGGCCTGATTTAGGCCTTGTTTTAGATTTCAACGTTTCTTCAATTAAATAGCTCCACTAAACCCCTAAGGGCGGTTCAGGTAGTTCGATCAGTCATCCATAGTCTTAACATTATAACATTTTGATCTATTCTTTTATAAATTCATGTACGAATGTCAACGATGAAATAAATCAACCAATTACAAAGTAGAAACATGGTAGGGCGTAAATAAGCAAGTCACATTTTCAAAGTTCTATAGTTTAAATAAATCAAAGTTATATAAAAGGTGTCAAATATCAGAATTTATGATTTGTATTTCATTGTTTCAAGTTCAAGAGACCATGGGATTAAACTGGGTTAACCATTAAGCAATTACACGTGCTTATGGCATCAAGCCGCACTACAGAAAAATGCTTAAGGTTCACTGAAAAAGGACACCACACATTTTCTGTTGCCAGTTTTACCATGAATTAATGATACTGCTAATCAAGATCATAGGGAAGAAATAGGGAAACAACAATTCAATATATGTGGGCACCAAATTTAGGGCCTCTAAAAGTCTTAATATGTCCCTGAACCATTTATATGGAAATCTTGTTTTTAGTAAATTTGACTCATAAATATGGAATATTTTCCCTAATCTCTCAAGGCGACTCCCTTTAAAAGTGCAGCATTTCTGAGAATGCAAACAAATATTGGCATTGAACACGAACAGTCACACTCTTAGGACGACCCTTCACAAAATAGAGAAACTGTTTCAATAAGCTGTCTGTTTCGTTGGCTTCGGAAAATCTGGCCATTTTATTTAATCCATCTTTGACATTCTGTTGCGATTATCTATAGCTTAAATTGTACGTTAGCGCATTTGCGATGTCCATTCAAAACAATAAATAATGCTGCACATTTTTGTAGCAAACCATTTTTTTTTTATATTCGGCGTTCTTGCAATTTAATAATAAATTTTAAATTTCTTAATTTTCTTTATGAGAGCGCAATCATTCTCAACTTATTAATGTTCATTTCACATAGATGGACCTAGGTGTACCATAAAATTGGAAACAAAATGTGTAAGGATTGACTTGCTTTGGATCCATCTGATATGGAAAAAAAGTGTTTTTTTTTACCAAACCCCGTATTAACTTGAATTGTAGTTTTGCAACGTTGAAAAGAACGCTACAAGCTACCTTGCAACATAGTTTCCAATAAAGGTCTTACATTATAACTTTGATCATTCTTTTATAATTCATGTACGAACAAATGAAATAAATCAACCAATTACAAGTAGAACATGGTAGGCGTAAATAAAGCAAGTCCATTTTCAAAGTTTATATAAGTTAAATAAATCTAATTATATAAAAAGAAATAATCAGGGTATTACTGAGAATGGATTATGGGTAATTTTAGCTGCTTATCAGTTTTACACTGATAGGGAATTAATATACTGAACTAGGGAAGAAATAGGGAAACAACAAATTCAAATATATGTGGGCACCAAAATGTCTTAAGAGTTTAGGGCCTCTAAAGTCTTATATGTCCCTATGAGAAATTTATATGGGAGATCTATGTTTTAGTAATTTGACTAAGCATAAATATGGAAAATGTTTTCCTAACCTCTCAAGGCGACTTCCCTTAAAAGTGGCAGCATTTCTGAGAATGCAAACAAATATGCATGAACACTAACAGTACACTCAGACGACCCCTTCACAAAATAGAGAAACAAATAAGCTGTCTTGTTTCACGTTGGCTTCGGAAAAATCTGGCCATTTAGTTTATATCCATCTTTGACTTCTGTTGCGGATTATCATCTTAATTATTACGTTAGCGCATTTGCGATGTCCATTCAAAACATAAGAAATGCTGCCACATTTTGTAGCAAACATTTTTTTTATATTTCGGTTCTTGCAAATTAATAATAAATTTTAAATTCTATTTTCCTTTATGAGAGCCGCAATCATTCTTACAACTTATAATGTTCATTTCATATAGATGACCTAGGTGTACCAGTAAGAATTTGGAAAACAAAATGTTACGGATTACTGCTTTGGATCCATCTGATATGGAAAAAAAGTGTTTCATTTTATACAAAACCTCGTTATATAACTTGAATTGTTAGTTTTGCACACGTAATGAAAAACGCTAAAAGCTTACCTTGCAATGTTGCCACAAAAGATAGTTCGATCAGTCATCCATAGTCTTAACATTATAACATTTTGATCTATTCTTTTATAAATTCATGTACGAATGTCAACGATGAAATAAATCAACCAATTACAAAGTAGAAACATGGTAGGGCGTAAATAAAGCAAGTCACATTTTCAAAGTTCTATAATAAGTTAAATAAAATCTAAAGTTATATAAAAGGTGTCTGAAATAATCAGAATTTTATGATTTGTATTACTCATTGTTTCAAGTTCAAGAGACCATGGGATTAGAACTGGGTTAACCATTAAGCAAAATTAGCACATGCTTAAGGCATCAAGGAAGCGCACTACAGAAAAATGCTTAAGGATTCACTGAAAAAGGACACCACAACAATTTTCTGTTGCCAGTTTTACCATGGAATTAATGATACTGCTAAATCAAGATCAATAGGGAAGAAATAGGGAAACAACAAATTCAAATATATGTGGGGGCACCAAAATGTCTTAAGAGTTTAGGGCCTCTAAAAGTCTTAATATGTCCCTATGAGACCAATTTATATGGGAAGATCTATGTGTTTTAGTAAATTTGACTAAGCATAAATATGGAAAATATGTTTCCCATAATCTCTCAAGGCGACTCCCTTTAAAAGTGGCAGCATTTCTGAGAATGCAAACAAATATTGGCATTGAACACTAACAGTCACACTCTGTAGGACGACCACCTTCACAAAATAGAGAAACTGTTTCAAATAAGCTGTCTTGTTTCACGTTGGCTTCGGAAAAATCTGGCCAATTTAGTTTATATCCATCTTTGACATTCTGTTGCGGATTATCATATAGCTTAATTATTGTACGTTAGCGCATTTGCGATGTCCATTCAAAACAATAAGATAATGCTGCACATTTTTTGTAGCAAACCATTTTTTTTTATATTCGGCGTTCTTGCAAATTTAATAATAAATTTTAAAATTTCTTAATTTTCCTTTATGAGAGCCGCAATCATTCTTACAACTTATTAATGTTCATTTCACTATAGATGGACCTATGGTGTACCAGTAAGAATTTTGGAAACAAAATGTGTACGGATTGACTTGCTTTGGATCCATCTGATATGGAAAAAAAGTGTTTTCATTTTATACAAAACCTCGTTATATAACTTGAATTGTTAGTTTTGCACACGTAATGAAAAGAACGCTAAAAGCTTACCTTGCAACATAGTTTCCACAAAAGACGAATATGTTAGCGTTCATTCAGATAAAATAACAACGAAATAGTTAAGTAGTGTTATGAATTTTGTATATATAAATAATTTTAACGAAATTGTAGTATCCGTTGTATTAGGTAATATGAAAAGCTTCGCTGGGATATACGATTACAGGGCCAAGTCCCTACATTCAGGTAAATGGCCCTGGCGAGATAGCGCCAAGCTGGCGATGATTTGGGAAGAAGTTCCAGAAATGTGAAGTGTTCCTTTCGAGAGAATACATTTTATCAAGCTGTCATCGGTTCTGTGAGAAATCAATCCATTACGAACTCTTACACACATGACAGTATACTTTTAACGAACATTATAACATTTTGATCTATTCTTTTATAAATTCATGCACGAATGTCAACGATGAAATAAATCAACCAATTACAAAGTAGAAACATGGTAGGGCGTAAATAAAGCAAGTCAAATTTTCAAAGTTCTATAATAAGTTAAATAAAATCTAAAGTTATATAAAAGGTGTCTGAAATAATCAGAATTTTATGATTTGTATTACTCATTGTTTCCATCAAAGCTATTAAAAAATCGACAGAAATCGGAGTTTGTTTACTGTACAGAATAATAACACGAAGAGACGCTTTCAACCCGATATGGTGGTAAATTTTATTTAAAGAAGAGTTTTAATATACATTCAGTTTAAACTCTCATCACGGAGGGGAAAATTATCACTTAATGAAATTTCAAAATTGAAAACATTAGGAAAAAGAAAACATACTTTGCATTCTGCAATTAATAATGCACATATTTACATAAGAGAATAATAATTTCAACTTCATAGTTTGAGAAACAACATTTTTACATATCTCTTCTTTTTTCTTCTTTCCTCATTGCAAACTCAGAAATTTATTTACAACGTATAAAACAAATTTCATATTTACAACAGAAATTCTGTAGCTGATATACAACAAAAATTATCTATAATTTCTTAATTTCATCTACAAATGCATACTCTCATTTCATGTCTGAATTCATTAAACTATAAAAATTAACACTTCAAATACAATTCATACATTAAGAATGTGTGCTTAGATGCAGTTTTAAACTCTTTTTCCACAGGAACTGTTTTCCGCATTCTTTACACACATTTTCCTTTCTTTCCAATCTTGTATGATTCAAACAATGTTGACAAAAATTATTAAAATTAAAAAATACTATTTTACATACTTCACAGACACGAGTTATAGCACCATGTTTACATTCATAATGTCGTTGTATCTGTTTCGTACTTTTAAACATTTTATAACAAAATTTGCACATCACCGATACGTGTTCATTTTCTTTTACATGGACACGTATATTCTGATTATTTTCTTTTACATGGACACGTTTATTCTGATTATTTTCTTTTACATCGACACGTATATTCTGATTATTTTCTTTTACATGGACACGTATATTCTGATTATTTTTTTTTACATGGACACGTTTATTCTGATTATTTTCTTTTACATGGACACGTATATTCTGATTATTTTCTTTTACATGGACACGTATATTCTGATTATTTTCTTTTACATGGACACGTTTATTCTGATTCGTTTCTTTTACATGGACACGTTTATTCGGATTATTTTCTCTTACATGAGCACGTTTATTCCGATTATTTTTTCTTACACGGACACGTTTATTCTGATTATTTTCTCTTACTTGGACACGTTTATTCTGCTTATTTTGATTTCGCTCAAAATTAGTACCAACATGCTGATATTTGTGCTTAGTGAGGGCAGATTTACACTTAAAGCTTTTATCACAAGTTTCACAAGCAAATTTATAATCATTATTCAGTATTCCACTAAAATGTAACATCTTATTTACTAAGAAATCCCCTTGACAGCATAAATAACATCGATGTTTGTTTAGGTCAGTTTTCAATTCCCGAATAATTTCAACTTCATTATCACCTTCTGAGAAGCATCTAGGAGTTGAATTCCAATCCTCCGCAGAAAATGACGACATAAACTCCAGAATATCTATAAAATATGCAAAAAAATAATTCATGATTAAAAAAAATTAAAAAAGTTATCACAGAAATCTTCGCATACACTTCATTACATCAATTCTGAAGCAAAAATTTATTAAATATGTTGCACATAAATCATGCATCACAAATTATATATTCCAGAACTGAAGATCAGCAATACAAATTATATATTCCAGAACTGAAGATCAGCTATATAAGGCATGAAAAAGAAAACACAAAGCAGCTTATGCAGCAAGCTCATGAGAAACGATGAAAAATTCAAATATTTTGTACGTCTTATATCACTACTTTTTACCTTTCTAATAATAAGAAATGAAATATATTTTATTATTATATAATATTCTGTAACTTTCAAGAAAAATGTGTATCATAAGTGTGGCGACCTGCCTACTACGACTCAACGTTGCCAGCCTGCTAACTCATAGCAACGAAAAACAAAATAATGTTTATTCTATTGTTAATATCGATACCAAAAAATTTATATTATTAACGATCTGTTTTTGTTATCATAGTTGCTTGTCCAGCTGCGCTTTATTTATTATTGTTCAAAACGGCTTATTATCAGCATGTAATTATCTAATCATCAGCATGTATTTATCAGCATGTAATTATCTAAATACAAAATTCGCAACAAATATTAATAATTTTTAACACAGCTACTTAAATGAAAATGAAGGTTAAAAATATTCTAAACACTAAGAAGCTATTTTTGATAATAATTGTTTTGTATTTTAAGAACAACCAAAAAAGTAATTGGGGGGGGGGAAGACGGAAAGATCAAGAATTATGGAGCCCACTTTCATATTTTTCTAAAAACCTCTCATCAGCACGAACCAGATACAGCACTTACGATCGCGAATTATTAGGAATTTATGAAGCTGTCAAATATTTTCCATCTCGATGGTGACGCCTAAACCAGATTCTCTGACGTAGCAGTGACTGGTTGCCTTGGCAACAGAGCTCGGATTTAACCATTTATGCCCTTTACGCCCTCGTCTGAACGGGGCCTTACAGCAACGAAAAACAAAATAATGTTTATTCTATTGTTAATATTGATACCAAAAAATGCATATTATTAACGATCTATTTTTGTTACAATAGTTGCTTGTCCAGCTACGCTTTATTTATTATTGTGCAAATTAAATTACTTTTATTATTATTATATTAAAAGCAGCGTGTAATTTTCTGTCTCAAAATTATACTACCATAATAAGCAAATCATAAAAAAATTTACACTTTTACAAATATTATCAATTAAAAAAAAGAGAGAAATTAGCAATACTGAACTGTTTTGCAAAAATCAATTAAGACATATGAAATTATTTTATAGACGTCAACACACACACACACAATACAAGTACTTAATTTTCAATATTTAATTCGGTATTTTTAGAATGATTCGGATACTTTTGTCTTAATTCATATTCACTTATTTTCTGAATTCATTAAGAGACATCCATAGTAATGTTAGTTAATTATCTGACGAAGGCAGAGCATCTCTTTAAAGGGCTGGAGGGATGTCTCCAAGGTACTTTAGGATTAAAAAAGGATATTGATTCATACTTAGTTACACGGAGAAAACTCAGTATTCGACGAAGTTTGAACTCTTATCGAATTGACAATCCTGAACAGTCTAATAACACTCGGCACTGTCACCAAGAAGGACTAGTTCCTGGTTCATTTGCATATGAAATTCAAGACTGTTTATTCCGAGGAGGCTAGAATAGACTATAGGTGGGGAACCTGCGGCCTCCGCGAGGTTCTTGTGCGGCCCTTTGCCACCTAGTACAAAATGGTTGAGTTCGTTTCAAACAACTATTGTACATCAACGCCATGGCAGTTGCGCGAAAAATCCCGTGCTTATAACAGGTACACGGTTTTATTGTATTTCTAGAAAGTACACACTTTGTTAAAGATATTATTTGATATTCGTTTTTTTATCCATCATGTCAAATAGTAAGAGAAGAAAATTAGGTGATGAAAACGAACATTTAATGTAGAATGGAGTTAGATTTTTTCTTACTGCTGAGAAAGATAAAATGATGTGTTTGTTGTGCAATACAGTTTTAAATACTTTAAAAAAGCGAATGCAAATAAACACTATTTGACTCATAAAGAACATAAATATTTCGCTTTAGAAGGTGAATCACGAAAAGCTGCACTTCAAAAGTTGAAAAATGAGAAGCATCATCAGCAGGCATCTTTTAGTGCCAATTACCTCTTTCAAGAAGAACTGTAACAGATCGACAGCACGAATTAGCGCAAAATGTAACAGAGCAACTTCATGCAATTATACAAAATGAAGATGTTTATTTTTCAATTGCTTTATATGAAAGCACTGATAAAACAGATTCGGCACAAGTTTTATATTTTATTCGTGTTATAACTAAAGATTTTCAATGTTACGAAGAACTACTTGCGTTGGGTACACTAACTGGAAAGAACTCGCGGAGCCGATATTTTCGAAAACTTCAAAGAGTATGTAATAAATTACAATGAATGTCAGTAATTTAGTCAGTGTCTGCACCGATGGCGCACCTTCCATGAGAGGCAAAAAAGAAGGATTCGTTGCTTTGTTTAAAAAGGGAACTTAAACTTGAAAAAATTGATATCATTTCACTGCATTTTGCATCAGCAAAATCTTGCGCAAAATCTACCATTTTGCAAGACACTCTGGATAGAACCATTGCCATTGTCAACTATATTCGCGTAAATAGAATGCGTCATCGTGAATTTCGGCAGATGCTCTCTTTAATGAGGAAACGTTATAGTTGACCTGCCATACTACTGCAAAGTTCGCTGGCCTATCAACAGGTCAGGTTTTGATAAAATTTTGTCTTTACGACGACAAATTTTAAACTTTTTAAAGAACAAGGAAAACAATGTGATCTATCAGATGAAGTATTTTCTCAGAAACCTTGCATTTTTGTCTGATATGATGACAAAACAAAACAATTTAAATATTTGCCTGCAAGGTGAACGAGGTATATTTATGAAATGTGGCAAAAGATCCAAGCGTTTTTAGAAAAAATTATCCTTTTTCAAAACATTGCTTTCTCGATCGGAAATATCTGCACAACACTTCCCGGAGCTAGCTAAAATGTTAAATGAGCAGAAACTGTGAAAATAAAATATTCGATGAATATGTAGGTGTCTTGGATTGTTTAATAGAAGAGTATACTAATAGATTTTCTGATTTTGACGACACACTCCTGCTATGAAACTGGCATTTGAACCACATTTAATAGATATATCCGAGGCTCCTGCAGAACTACAAATGGAGTTAATTGATTTAGGGAAGATAGTATCATCAAATCCCTTTTTAACGCTAAAAAGGATCCCATAGAAATCTGGAAAAATGCTGTTTGAATATCCATGCCTTCGAGAAAACATGCTCGCCGTTTACTTTCCTGCTTCGGAAGTACCTAGTGTTGCGAGACAACATTTTCTCTCATGTCAAAATACAAAAAAAATTTAAGAACGCAAATTACATATGCACATTTAGAGGATCAATTAAAGCTGTGTGTTACGGAGCTTGATCCAAATATACAATTACTGTCAAAACAAAAAACAAAGCCAAATAAGTCACTAACTTAGTGAAAAAAAAATATTTTTTATTCTATTTTTATATTTTTATTATTTTATATGTATATTATATTTAAAATTTTGTAGTATTATATTTTTATTTTTTCTATATATGCAATAAATTGTTAAATCTATAGAAAAACTATAATAATTTCACAAAAGTCACTTTCTTAGGTCAATCAGCTTATGCGGCCTCTCTTATTGCTGCCTAATTTAAAAGTGGCCTCTAATGGTAAAAAGGTTTCCCACCTCTGGAATAGACCCTTCCTAACCGTATTCTAACCTGCTTGGTTTATTCAACCTCTCACAGTCCTAAGTTTATCCCAAGCGGGATAAACTTAGGACTAAATTATACTAAATTTTATACCTTATAGATAGCGGCCAACCTCTTTTTCCGACTATTCTGTTTGTAAAAGCAATTCTGTTTTCACGTGAAATTTTTCTGTTGAATTTGCAAACAGCTTTTTAAATGCTGTCTTCGAATGTGTGTTATCAATTTACTCGAATTTAAATTTCAAATTTACTTTGCGAAGAGCTTTTAAATGCTGTATTCAAATCTTTGTTTTCAATTTACTCTCAAATAAATTTCATGTTTACATTACAAACAGTTGAAATTAGAAGAAAAATGAAATAATTTTTATCTTAAGCGGCATAAGTTTAATTTATCTCTCTTAAATTCATTATCTCCGTTTTTTTTTTTCAACACTCTGCTTACAACAAATTGTTTGTAGATAGGTTTTGAAACAACTAAATATAGCAGTACAAAATCGAGTGTATTTTATCTTACCTCTTACCTGTTTCAGTCACTGTATAGGTGAAATTCTTGATATAATCTATGCCCATAACATTTAGGGACTTACTCTCAGTTATATTAATAACGAGTAGTTCATTGAAATACTTAAACCAGCTAATCTAACTAAAAAAAAAAAAAAATCCCTAGCTTTCATTTTGAACGTGCAATAAAATGGCGGAAGAAAAAATGTATAAAAACAACAATTTTAGTGGCGCCACCTATAGGTCCGTAAAGTAACTACACATTTAAGTATAGATCGCCTATATCGGAGAATACCTAGCCATAGCTAAGGCTTTTAAACTAGGAAATTCTGTAACTTTGTTTTTAAAAATTGAAATTACGGTGAAATCATATCTTCCTTAGGCACAAAAGCATAAAATAACTAACCATTAGTTTCTAAATTATAGATCTTAGCGCTTCTCTATCCTAGTCATTCACATTTTACTAATTTTCTTACTTTTTCAGAAATTAGAGCGTCACAACTAGAATCACTCTTACCACAAAAAAACATACTGAGCATTGTCCATTAAAAAAAAAGCTAGTCATATAGATATTGGAAAATAAATCATATTATTATGCATACAAAGGTATTGCATAAAATTTTCTTCCTCATAATTTAAATTTGCTTCACAAAGATAATTTCTTCCTGACATCTTTGTAAAATTGATAACAAAATTTAAAAACCAAATGAATAGTTACCATTAGGCAAAAAATATTTTGCTTTAATAAACATAACTGCAATATGCACGAATGCCTATAATTAAAAAAAGGAGGAAGAGAAACAGCTAAATTTATTATACACACCCCCACACATATATATTTGTTTTTTTATGCGCTGCTGTTGCGTTGAAAATTATTAATAAATAGGCGCTAGAATAGTGAAAATAGTCTACAGAAAATTAGAGATATTATAGACTGTTCACAACTGCTGAAATATGACTATAAAAGACTTTTGGTTAACTGAGCAGTTTTCAGAAAATACTTGTTCGGGACGAAAGGACCGATATTTCTAAATTTTTTCTCTGCCCTTAGCTATCTAAAAACAAAAGACTTCAAGAATCTATGGATTAATGAAGAGTTTAGGCTAGCTTGTTCGCATTGCTACTGGGGTTATTAGACAGCGATTTAAGCCTTTGTTCTGTGACTGATTTAGCCACTCTGCTGAGTGGAGAAAAAATGACATGACAAGCAAAACTGAGTGAAAGAAAACGCAACGTTGATTTATTTGTAGATTTTATTTTAGCTGAAGCACCTTCAGCAAACACGATCACCATTTTCAGTTGTAACTAAATGACACAAAAGTACCACAGACAAATTGGCGAAATTTCAGGAACATTCTCTAAATTTAAGAAGAAAATAACAGCGGAAAAGAAAGGGTAGAAGTAAATGGTGCCATTTCAGAAGGGAACGTGCAACAAAAAATGGTCTGTTTATATGTGGGTGTGAAAAACCAATTAATTTGATTTTTAACTTTTTGGAAAGTTTGAAAAAAATTAAGTCACTGACTAAACCACTGCAGGGAGATTATTACAGATAAGAAAAAAACTCTAGGTTCTCCAACTGAAGAGGTTTCTTAGGTGACTTATATAATGAAAAACTTTTATGGTTTATAGTCCAACAAATTGCCCAGCATTGTTTCTTTGTTTCCTTTTTTCGAACATGAGACTTGTGCTCCCCCGTGCGAAAATTTAAATTATAGTTTGCCCAACACATTTCCAGCCGCACTGAGAAGGAATGCTATTATATCCCGAAGAATTTGTATCAGGAATAAGATCTATATCAATGGTGGCGAACCTTTTTGGTGCCGCGTGCCCAAAATTTTTTTTTTTTTGGAGGGGGAGGGAGCGCGTGCCCAAAACCTCTTTGATTAAATCCTCATCGGAGATCAGCGGTTTACCATGTTTTGCTAGGCACAGCGAAATTTGAAAGCTGGCCGTTATTATATGTTTTTTTTTTTTTTTTTTTTTTTGGGGGGGGGGGAGGAATAATTGCAAAAACCAACTTTCTGGTAATTATAAATTCTCAATTTATTTTCAATAAACACCTTCCGTTCAGCTTCATTAACTTCGGGAACAATCTTGTGGTTGGTGTTAAGGCCCGTTTCCACTGCTGCGTATGCGTTGCGGTGCGTATGCGTTTCTCCAATCAGCGAGCGAATTCACTTTGATTGACATCTGCAATCCGGTCGGTGTGCGGTGACGGAATACATACGGATGGAGTTCAACAATGTTCAACTTCTATCCGTATGTCTGCGGTTGCGTTGGGGTCACGTGGTGAAAAAGGAGCAATGATGTGTAGTCACTAAAAATTAATGGCGGCAGAAGAGCGATGAACGCTCGCTTAGAAGAACGTTTTGCTAAAAAATACTTATTTCTGAATTAACATTATAGCGAGAAATCTGCGTGCTGAAAAAGATAGCAATCAGCTGAATTTAGTTAAAAGAAGATAAGAAAAACAAGATAACTGCAACTACAGTACTTGTTCGTTCAAGAAAATCAGCAGCAAAAATTATAATTCCAAGTCCATGAAATAGCAAAATTTGTTCTGATAATCATTTTTTAGTTCTGCATACTCATTTAGCTTTAATAAAAATGAATGTCTGACTATATCAAACTGCTATAGCAAATTAGATATGATTAAAAGATTTGCTATTTTTTTCTTTTGAAACAGGTAAAAACTAAGAACGTTAATTATAAATTAAATTTGATAGCCTTTTAAATACTCCAGTTCATTGAAGAGTATGTTAATTTTGTATTTCCCTTTATAAATATATCTTTTTGGATAACACATATTTGTAAGCACATGAAATATATTTTTAGCAGCCCGTTTAACTTCAATCGGAACGCCACTTTAAAAGATAATTTTTCCAAAAAATGTACTAGAAGCTGAAGAACAAACTCTGGTGAATTTTTCAGACAATAGCACACTGAAATAGGACCAAAAAACTTAAGTTTTAAGAATTGATTTACTTGATGATGTATATAACCCAAAATATGCATGCGACTCACGTGTAATCCTAGCTTAGTGGTAAAGCTGATGGTAACGATGTCCACTTTTTGGAGTCGTGAGTTCGAATCCCATACGCTTTTTACACCATGTCTGCAACTTTCTTACCTTTTTATTCCAATTTGATGTATATTCGTGTTTTATAATTTATTTCTATTATTATATGCATTAAATATATTGTTTATTTATGCTCTATTTATTTAAATTTTTCCCGCAAAAAAGTTTGAAAATTATATAATACTAATTTAAAGCATATCCTGTACATATATATTTGAATTTAACAAAAACATTCTCTATTCGTAAAAAGCAAATTTAAAGTTAATTAAATTTAAATGAAATTTAATGCAAACAAAGAAATGATTAATTATTGCTGTGCAAGTATCAAAATCCATGAATAAATATATAATTCCAAAAATTTATTAATCCTTAAAAAATTTATAAAAATGCGTAAGTGAATAAAGGGATAGATTATTAATCCTAAAAAATTATAAAAATGCATAAGTGAATAATAGGATAGATTATTAATCCTAAAAAATTATAAAAATGCGTAAGTGAATAATAGGATAGCTTATTAATCCTAAAAAATTTATAAAAATGCATAAATGAATAATAGGATAGATTTTAATTCTAAAAAACTTATAAAAATGCATAAGTGAATAATAGGATAAATAAATTTTTGGAATTATATATTTATTCATGGATTTTGATACTTGCACTTGATTTACATATGCTCTCAGAATTTAAATGATATTGTATATTAGTTCGCAGCAATAATTAATCCTTTATTTGTTTGCATTAAATTTCATTTAAAATTTAATTAACTTTTAATTTTTTACGAATAGAAAATGTTTGTTAAATTCAAATTTCATTCCTTGCAGCAATGGCGCAAGAGAATTATTTAAATTTAATTTATTTTGAAACCCTGAAGATATATATATATATTTTCGTTTCACTTTTATGTGAATGTATATACATGTGCTCAGACTTTGGGATGTTTACGACTCTAAACTTTCATTCCAAATAACATGAGACAGTATTAATGCCCTAAACATTTTTTTAACAAAAAATTACTATAATAATTGCTTTTAAATTCAGTCCTCTCCTGCAGAAGCGCAGGAATTAATTAATTAAATATTTCCATTTTCTTTACCTAATGTGTGTATATATAAAGAGAAAAATCTTATTTTATAACTTCTTGTATAAAAAAGAGATATGAATTAAAAATGTTTAAAATTAAAAATAATGTTTTATGGATTATGTATAAAATATAACTGCCCATAGTGCATTTTAAAAACAAACGAGATTTCTAATAAATTATCCAGCTATGACCCCTGAAGTCAGCGGTATACAAGCATAGCAAATTTTGCGTAAATATTGTGAACCTTTCCTTACAGTTGCTCTGTACTTTTAAAGTACCAACTATTTTTTAATCCCTTTAATTTTTTATTTTATGTTATTTATTTTTTACTTTTTCACTAACAGTACATTTTAGTTTTAATAATATATATATTATTTCATAATATTTAAGGCTTCTAGAAACACAAATTTTTTTTAAAAATTTATTTCAGCTTCTATGGAATTCGTGATGTTCATAATATGCATTATAACCTTACTTATCTAAAATTCCATATCAAATCGAAAACAAACAATACTCGCTTAAGCGGGAAAAATTCAGATGTTCAGCGTCGTAACTCGCGAACTGCTTGTTTGGCGCCAAAATATTACAGTGACACCTAGCGGTGGAAAATGAAAATATTTTACGGATACGCAGCAGTGGAAACGCTTGTACGGATGCCGTAGGCGTGTCTTCAATTGACGCAACGCGTTCTTATGCAGTAGTGGAAACGAGCCTTTAAAGTGCTGCTTGACACTTGATGTGTGACACACAACACTTTCCTCGCAAAGAAAGCTTAATGCTTTCCTACTGTGTTCATTAACTCTAAATGATTCTGCCCATGTCTCTTGAAATGATCTTCCACTATCAATGTTAATTTTGCCTTTTTTGCTGAAGTCATTAGTGAGGTTTCAAGACCGGGACAGCAGTAACCGTTAACCCAAATATCTCTTTGCTAAACTTCTAACTTTAGATATCATATGTTCCTTTTCGGCTTTATTGGGC